GGAATTAATTTCGCTAGAAGTATAAATAATAGTATATTATTTTATTTATCTAGATTAAAGAAAGTCTAATAGATATATAGTTTATATTTAGTCCGAAGTCGACGACCCCGAATCTATACTAGATCCCCTTAATAGCTCTTTACCGTTATACCTAAACTTAGTCTTCGAGATAAAGGTTATAATAATAATATTAATATAATATATTAAATATAACTCTAATATTATATAATATAGATAGCGCGACTATATAGCCCTAGTAATAACTAAGCTCGAGAGGATATAGGAGCACGCCTAAGAGTTCTCTAGATATAGTTATAAATAGGTAATTTACGCTATTCGAAGAGACACTACTTTAACTACTAGTAGGGTAATATAGATAAGATATAATAAAACTATCTTCTAGCTAATTATTCTTAAGTGCGCCGCGCTAATCGACTTAGTAACGCTACTACCTATTAAAAGCCTAGCTAATAGATTTACTATAGCGGAAAAAGCTACTATAAAGAAATTTATAGAAGATACTAGGTATAGCTTAGATATAGAAAACTAGCGATAATACCGTATTTTTTAGAAGAATATATTCTATATACGTAAGGCTAGTATTAAGAAAATTCTCTTCTACCGTACGAAAGAATTCGATAGTTTCTATAAAGGTTATTCTAAAATATCGGAAACTCCGCTTATAGATAAAGTTTTAAGATAGGAAAACGAGTATCTCCTTTATTTTAAATAACTAGAAATACGGATTACTAAATTAAAGATAGGAGACTCGAAGCGTCTTAGCTACTTTACTAATCCTTAGGTGCTAGAACGGTTAAAAGTGCTAGAGCTCTTTTAGGATAATACTTTAAACGAGTAGGCCGTTAATACCGAAGAAGAAAGCTTTAGGTAATACGGCTTAGTGTCTATCTCGACTAATATTCTAGGTATACTATATAACGATAAATTAGTATATAAAGGTAGGATAGATAAGTCCGTATTTATTACTCTTCTATCTAAAGACGACGAGTCTTTATTCGTCTCTTCTATTATATCTATATATAAGAGAGACTTCCTAGGTATATTTGCCGGCACTATCCGTTTCTTAGAGGATTTTAACGTTATCTATAGTATCTTAGGTCCCGCTAAGAGTCTATAGCTAGACTATTCTTAGATAACTAGGGCGCTAAATTAAATATAGGTATCTAAACCTAGTAGTTATATAAATATATACCTTCGTTAGGCTATATTTTATAACGATACTACGATAGAGCCGCGCGTTTTATAGCGCGTCTCCGTTAAAGCTACTAAGTATATTATACTATTTTATCCTATCGTCTATATAGCTACTTAATAAGAGTAATACTATTTATATCTATTACCTAGAAATATTAAAAGAGGCTTTCTCGAATCTACTACTAACTAGTAGTCTACTATTAGGGCTCCCTTTACTTTTTTAAGGAATCTTAGGTACGTTCCGTTTTAGATAAATAAATATAAGTAAAGAAGACTAGCTAGTAATAAATTTATAGAATTACTTCTTATCTTTATCCTATATTTCTAGTTTATTTTATAAGAATATATATATTTACTTTAATCTTAGCTATATTAAAAATTAGCGAGTTTTAAATTTACTATAATATAATATTAGCCCTATTATAATTATTTATAAGGCTAAAATTATAGTAGTAATAATATTAGAGTGCTTTAAATTTATAAAGATATAATATTAGGTCTAGTATAATTATTTATAAGGCTAAAATTAATCTAGGTAAAAATTATAGAGGTAATAATATTAAAGTCGTTCGGCGTTAGCCGGAGATAAGGAGGTCTAAGAAGGGTTCTCTAGGACTCCTTTCTCTACCTTAAAGTAGGAAGACCGAGTAGTCTAGCGCTTTAAGGAGTAGCTAAGCTAGCTAATAATATCTCGTATTTACTATCCCTATTTAGGTTAGTAATTAGTAAGTCTCTATATATAGTCTTCTTCTATATAGAGCCCTCTTCCGTATAAGGAACTATATATAGAAAATTACCTTATATAGAATTTATTATTAGACCGCTAATTATAGCTATATTCTTAGTAAAGTAAATTAAACTATTAGGATAGTGGCTATATAAAATCCCTAACCGAGGATAGGAAAAATAAAGGTTCTTTCTAATAAAGGTTCCGCTTCGGTCTTATAACTTTATATAGGTTATTATAGTATATCTTTATTAACCTATAGTAGATCCTAGTATATTACTAGTATTAGCGCTAGATAGTAGGAGTTCTTAATAGGTTAGTTATCTTTTTATTAGAGCTATAGTTTAAGATATACTAATTATAAGCTAAGGAAAGCCTAAAATCCTAAAGTATCCGCTAATAAAATATATATCTAGCCCGTCTCTCGGATATAAATTCCTATATATACGTCTACGCTATATATCCTACTATATACGTATACCTTTTTTATTAGACTTATTTTATAATAGTATTATTTTTACTATATTAACTTTCTTTTCGAAACGATATCCTTTAACCTAGTAGCCTTAATAGCGGCTATTAAGCGCGTTATCTTAATATCTAGAGGTACTTTAGGAGTAGAGAAGCCTATATAGAAAATATAGATAGTAGGGACTCTTATAAAACTTAGATCCGCTAATAGAAAGGGGCCTAATAAATATAAATATTATTATATAAAGAGGAGTCTTTAATTATAGAATATAAAGGGACTATAATATTTAAAGTACTATACGAAAATCGGTCCTTTATATATTAAACTTATAAAGGTAGACCCTATATAAATAGAAGGGTAATAATTACTAGTATTATTTAT